CACATAACAGTTACATTAGATAAATTTGTGTGCTTTCCTACTGTTAATCTGTCTTATACCAATTCAATTCTCCAGCCCAGCCACTACCCTAAGAGGAAGATGGAGATAAAATTTTGTCTCCCCTACTGGGGAAGAGATAATCAGATACTTAATAAAATGCAAGCCAATCTGGAATGCTAGCAGATATTCTTTGTAGCTGGTTTTCTACACCATGTCCCAAGCAAAAATTCCAACTGTATAACAAAGTGATCCTTAATCCTACAATACAGAGATATTATTCTCCCTATAGTCAACTTGCAAAAACTGTGACAGGCTTATTTTGTTTTTACAAAAATGTCTAAAAATAAAATAAATTCTTCCAAGCTACAAAGGAAAAGCATTCAGGCTATAAATATACACACATAGGCACACTGATTTTAATCTACAGCCCTGCAAGATTAAAGGAAGCATTTTTCTACCCACATAAGTAATTACAACATTTTGTACTTAGCTATTAGTTTCATTTTCTTAAAAAGCAGATTTCTGAAATGAAATGTCATTTTCTAGCATTTACAATATTTCTTATGATCTCATTATTGCAGAGATTTCTACAATATGAATTGAGTAGAAATAAACACATGGCTTTATGTCATGTTTTATTTCCTAGGCACTGGCTAAGTTTCCTGTATAGGACTTTATTCTTTACAATGGGATTTCACATTTATTTGGCCGTTTAACTTGATCCTCACAGTAATTCTCTGACAAGAAATTAATGGACACCAAGTATCCTTGGATATCAAGTATCCTGTACTATCTATCAGGCACATTCAAAATTCAGCATTTTGTACAAACTATCTTTTTAGTCATAACAATCAAATAAAGCAGATAATACCAATCCCATTTTGTTTTCTTGAGACAGGATCTTGCTATGCAGTCTAAGCTGCCCTCAAACTTAAAATGCTCTTGTGTTGGCCTTCTGAATGCTGACATTGCAGGCACGTTTCACCACACCATCCAATCAATCCCATTTTAATGTAGAAAACATTGAGAATAAGGAAAGTTAAGTAGCCCAAAGCCATATATGCTAGTACCTAGAAAAACCAGGCATCAGGAACAGGTCTGCTCTTTCCCCTATACTATGCTGTTCAACATCACAGAGAAGCAGGTATTTAAATAGGACTACTTAGTTAATATCACAGAAACAGGACTCAATACAAGATCTAATTCTGAATCTCTTCCCACTATGGTGCCTACAGTCACAATAAAGCATACAGTAATGACTAAAATCCAAGACCAATGGGTCCAATTTTGTCTTTGAAAATCTTCAGGGAAGTACAAAACATTAATAAGACCTGTATACATCCACAGAGAAACATACTTAACACAAAAGGTGCAATACACACTACCTCCTTTGCTTTTCCAATAGCAGCTTATATGGATTTAGGCTCACAATGACTGCCATGGCCAGCACAGAAAATCCAAAGGTACTTCTTCATTCATTCAACTATACAGACAACAGAGTAAACAATTCACCATAGGTGCTGAGGCCTATGGTACCCCAATCCTCTCTTTTACCTCACCTTGCATTGTGCCTAAGTGACATGTACATTCCCTTTAACCTCCTTCTTTTCCTATTCTTTTTCCAACTTATGTGACATTAACCTGAAAGAACCCACTCTTTTTTTTTTAATTTTTATTTTATTCATATGTGCATACAATGTTTGGGTCATTTCTCCCCCCTCCCCCCATCCCCTTCCATACCCCCCTCTTGTTCCCCCTTACCCCTCGCTACCTGGTAGAAACTATTTTGCCCTTATCTTTAATTTTGTTGAAGAGAGAGAATAAGCAATAATGGGAAGGTACAAGGGTTTTTGCTAGTTGAGATTAAGGATAGCTATACAGGGAGTTGACTTGCATTGATTTCCTGTGCATGTGTGTTACCTTCTAGGTTAATTCTTCTTGATCTAACCTTTTCTTGAGTTTCTGGTCCCCTTCTCCTATTGGCCTCAGTTGCTTTAGAGTATCTGCTTTACTTTCTCTGCATTGAGGGTAACAAATGTTATCTAGTTTTTTAGGTGTCTTACCTATCCTCACCCCTCCCTTGTGTGCTAAAGCTTTTATCATGTGCTTAAAGTCCAATCCCCTTGTTGTGTTTGCCCTTGATCTAATGTCCACATATGAGGGAGAACGTACCATTTTTGGTCTTTTGGGCCAGGCTAACCTCACTCAGAATGATGTTCTCCAATTCTATCCATTTACCAGCGAATGATAACATTTCATTCTTCTTCATGGCTGCATAAAATTCCATTGTGTATAAAATACCACATTTTCTTAATCCATTCGTCAGTGGTGGGGCATCTTGGCTGTTTCCATAACTTGGCTATTATGAATAGTGCTGCAATAAACATGGCTGTGCAGGTGCCTCTGGAGTAACCTGTGTCACATTCTTTTGGATATACCCCAAAGAGTACTATTGCTGGATCATATGGTAGATCAATGTTTAGATTTTTAAGTAGCCTCCAGATTTTTTCCAGAGTGGTTGTACTAGTTGACATTCCCACCAGCAGTGTAAGAGGGTTCCTTTTTCCCCACATCCTCGCCAACATCTGTTGTTAGTGGTATTGCTAATGATGGCTATTCTAACAGGGGTGAGGTAGAATCTTAGTGCGGATTTAATTTGTATTTTCTTTATGGCTAGAGATGGTGAGCATTTTTTCATGTCTTTTTTGGCCATTTGAATTTCTTCTTTTGAGAAAGTTCTGCTTAGTTCATTGCCCATTTCTTTATTGGTTCATTAATTTTGGGAGAATTTACTTTTTTGAGTTCCCTATATATTCTGGTTATCAGTCCTCTGTCTGATGTGTAGCTGCCAAACATTTTCTCCCACTCTGTGGGTGTTCTCTTCAGTTTAGAGACCATTTCTTTTGTTGAGCAGAAGCTTTTTAGTTTTATGAGGTCCCATTTATCTGTGCTATCTCTTAGTTGCTGTGCTGCTGGGTTCCATTGAGAAAGTTCTTGCCTTACCTATAATTCCAGAGTATTTCCTACTCTTTCCTGTACCAACTTTAGAGTTTGGGGTCTGATATTAAGATCCTTGATCCATTTTGAGTTAATCTTGGTATAGGGTGATAAACATGGATCTAGTTTCAGTTTTTTGCAGACTGCTAACCAGTCTTCCCAGAAGTTTTTGTTGAAGAGGCTGTCTTTTCTCCATTGTATATTTTTAGTGTCTTCGTCAAAGACAAGTTGGTTATAGTTGTGTGGCTTCATATCTGGGTCCTCTATTCTGTTCCACTGGTCTTCATGTCTGTTTTTGTGAAGAACCCACTCTTAATTGCTCTCATGTGTTAGCCACAGCCAAGCAGTAACTGCTTCTAGTACACTACACAATTTCCTGGGAATTTTGTTTTTATATAACTTACGCAGCTTCCTGCTCCTGTGACAGGATTCTTTTCCAACCTCACTGGGCAGACTCCAGGAAGAAACAAATCAAGAACGTGGATTTCTCCAAAGTATCAATCTAGACTCACTTCAAAAAGTCATTATTTAAAAAGAAAGAAAGAAAGCTTGGTATGGTGGCTCACCCATAATCTCAGCAGTACTGTCAGGAGGCTGAGGCAGGAGCATCACAATTTCAAGAAATACATAAGAGGAAGAGGAAGAAGAGAGATAAAGAGAAAGCTAGATTTTAAAAGAATAAAGAAACAAGCAAATGCAATGTGCAGGCCTTAATTGGACTGTTGTTTGAAAAAAACTGTAAATGAAATTTTGGAGTCAATTGAGAAGTTTAAATACAAACTTGATTTGACATGATGGTATGGAATTACTCTATTGCTGTTTTCTTACACCTGGCACAACAACATATGCTCTTCTAGAAGAATGTCCTTATTTCTAGGAGATGTGCACTGAAGTATTTACAAGTAAAATGTCATAATGTCAAATTACTCTCAAATGGTTCAGCAAAACCACATGCTCTTCCTGAAATATACACATGCACAGTGACAGTATAGGGGAAAAGTTGGAAACTGTTGAAACAAGGCTAAGAATATTTGGATATATTTTCATTATGCTTTTCTGTGTGCTTGAAATTTTTAAAATACAAGGTTGAGTTTAGAAAAGTGACAGAAAAGTGAATTATACCATGGGACACTCGCCACTTGTTTTTAGATGTTTAGTAGTCTTGTTTTATTTTATTTGTTTGATTTGTGGTGCTGGCAATCCAACTCAAGGCCTCACTTATTCTAAACAAATGCTTTCCCACTGAGCTATATCCTCAGCCCATATTTCTGTTATTCTTGACAGAATAAAGATAAGAAACTTTCATTGGTCTATAGAGTGCTAACTGCTGAGTCTTAGAATGGGGTTGCCACTGTAATCAGGTTATAAATAAGAAAGATAGACAAAAGTGTGACTGCTCTTTCTTTTACTTCCATAAATGAACACGCATTACATCATCAATGCTTTAAGTACATATAATTTTCCCATGTCAAAAACATGAAAATTTGTGGTTGTACTGCACAAATCATTCCTCAAAGCATGTAGTTTTTTAGTCTCCATTAGGATGTCTTATCAAGGTAGACAAAAACAAAGGCTTAAATTATATTTTCAT